ATTTACTTTCTTGTCTTTTTTATTTTCTTTTTGCACTTTAATTTGTAGAGTAGATTTATTTTTCTTGCATTTAATTTCTGCAATTTATTTTGTAGTTTAGATTTTTATTTTCTTTGTAATTAGATTTATTTCTTGTTCATAGTTTAGATTTTTCTTTTCTTTTTAATTTTGTAATTAGTCTTCTTTTTCTTGTTTTTATTTCTTAAAGATGTGAATTTAATTCTTGTAGGAAGTTTAGAATTATATAAAACTAGTCTAATTTCCTTTATATTGTATGGATTATTCTCTTGTACTTAAAATGTTCATGTAGGATAATCAACTAGAGAACTAATCGGTAGAAGAAGAATTTGATAATCTATGCTTATCTTAAATGGTTTGATAGGTTATGCTTATGAATTCTAGGATTATTATCACGTTGTTGTTCTTATCATGAATAGTAATTTTAGCTTAGATGATAATTTGATAGGTTACACTTTCCTTAAATGGTTTGATAATCTATGCTTAATAAATCTAAGTTGAAATATGATAAAAAGAGAATAGTTTATATTTTGTAATTGAAATTGGTTAGTGGATTATATTCTAGATTTCTTACCTCTTTTGAATCATCCATCTTGACTTTCTTAAAATTTCTTTTCATTCTTGGTTTTAATTCTTGATTTTATTCATTCATCTTTCTTGCCTTGTGATTTCATTTATTCTTTAATTCTTCCTTCTCTCCTCTAAAATTCAATTCATTATCTTTTGCATATATTCACAAAAATCACTCATCAAAATCACACTTATTCTTTATTCCTAATTGTCACGCACAAAATATAAGAGCCAAGTTTAATAATCTCTTAAAATCACCTTCCTCGTGGGATCGATATCTTTTTATACTATAACTTGATAAATTGTGCACTTGCAATTTTTGGTACATAATTATGTCGCATCATGGCCTCAACTCATCTGATACTTGAGGAGTATATGAGCTATTGTCATTCAAGTTTTCCATTTCTCAAAAAAAAATTGTAATTGACCTATATAAAATGCATATAATATCAAATTTCAAACCAAATGTTATCAAATTAATAATTCATATCAAATCTAAAGTTACAGGTCATGTTATCAAATTAATTTCTATAGTAGACTTCACAACGGAAGTACAAGTCAAATACACAAAAACAAAGTTACAGGTCAAATACACAACGAAAGACACCAATTCTGTCCAAACGTCATGCGGACTGCAGAATTTTTGAGTTGCTGCAGCAAAAACAGAAAAATTCTATAAAATTTTGAGTTGCTGCAGTAAAAAATAATTGCTCAGCAAAAACAGAAATGTTATCAAAATTTTGACATGTTATCAAAATTTGACTTGCTGCAACAAAAACAAAAATGTTATCAAATTTTTGAGTTACTGCAGCAAAAACAGAAAAATTCTACAAATTTTGAGTTGCTGCAGTCAAAAAATAATTGCACATAAAGATTTCGACATACTTCCTTCATCAAACTGCGGAGTTATTCGTCGGCGTTGTGATTCCGTAGAGTTCGTCTTGAAGAGTTGGCGGAAGTCGGTGAGAGTTGAGCCCGCTACTTCGTCGGTTCGTCGGCGAGAGTTGAGCATGAGAGGTCATCGGGTCGTCGAAGACTGTAGAAATCAACGAGACTTTGTCGAGTCGGTGGCGGTCGGAGTAAGAGAGAGAACAGGATCAGAATTGTTCCATGAAGTAGGGATTTGAGATCGATTTTTGGGGCGGTCAGAGTACGAGACTTCGTCGGGCTTCGTCGGGCTTCGTCGGGTCGGTGACAGAGAGCAGAGACGCTCGTAGCGGATTTGAGATCGATTTTTTTTGGGGGGGAGAGATGGATTTGGGGATTTTTCCATGAAGTGAGAGAGAGAATGAGATCTGTGAGATAAAGTAGCGAGGATGAGAGAGAGAGAAGCGGAGGTTTTTGTAAAAAAACCCTTCTCGTCCCAAATGCGTACGCATCATTCGTAGGTGAAATGCAATACACCACACACACACACACACACACACACACACACACACATATATATATATATAATATATATATATATGAGATCTGTGAGATAAAGAGCGGAGGATGTAGAGAGAGAGAAGCGGAGGATTTTGAAAAAAACCTTCTCGTCCAAAATGAGTACGCATTATTCGTAGTGAAATGCACTGTATATATATACTAGTTGGATTGCATGTGCAATGCACGTGGTAAATTTTTTATCATTTATTATAAAATTTTAAATTTATTTAGGGAAATATTTGTTATTAAATTATTGAATGTAAGCAATGGGTCAAACATATAGACATAAAATAAAGTCATTGGACCTTACGCGACGTCAAACCGAATAAGTTAAAATCTTTTAGACATTTGGATATAAGAACTAAGAATCACACTAATAACCTCATTGAATGAATGAGATATTTGGATTGAACATTAAATCTTTTGTGTCCTATAACAAAATAATATGAGCGACATTCAAGATAGAATACAATAGAATTTGTTCAGTAAGCGCAATATGTTTTCAAGAAAATACAGGTCAAGTACGGACCACCTTATATTCAACATAGACAATTGTCTAGCATCGGTTAACCACTATAAAGTCAAGTTCTTCTCATGTATGAATAGCTTCCACTATGTCTTCTTAAGAGAAAGGATTGAGTCTTGAAAGAAGACCCCAACCGAGCAATACATTATTTAAAAAAATTGGGTGATTACAATCTACTTACCGATAATCATCAAAATCCCCAACCAAAGAATAAAATGAAGAGTATCTCTCATTACATCACAACAAAAAATATAAAACCCTCTAGCTGTATACATCAAAAACCTATCAAAACAACTCCTAACATACTCTCCTAACATACTCATATCCAAAAAAATGGAACATTAGCAACATTTAGCAACAAAATATATAGCTTAAAAAACATCTCCATTCATCAAAGACCTGAACTCAAGTAAATAGCATCAAATTGTTGATAACCTAGCAGCTCCCCATGTCTCTTACTATTTCGTCATGGTTCATAGGAAAGGCTAAAATAATAAGAAGGAAATATCAAGACATATAACCTTCTAAACACAAGTTAAAGGAACATGAAACAGAGACGCATAGGGAATTAGAGCAGATCACCTAAGTACTGATTGAATAATTGATAATGAACAAAGCAATATAGAAATCAATCTCTCCTATAAGGAACATTCTTTTTAAACAAATACCCATTACATGTACAATATTTCTTACATTATAAAGTCTACCAACATTTCTTACATTAACATCTATAATATCTGTTATGCTATAGAGTCTATCAATAGAATAATTAAGCTAATAGACACAAATTCGTTTTGGCTAACTATCATTCTCTAAGTTATCATATGACTTGTAGCCTGTAAGCTTAATAATTTCCTTTAGCAATTGCATTATCATTTTTTATATGTATCATGAAATTAGTACTTTCCTCCAATTGGCATTTGAGCTCATATTTGCTTACATGAATTTAGATATTGCAAGACATTTGATAATGTCCCATTTAGTAAAAGTTTACTCTCTGATAGAAATTTAGAAATTTCAGAATCTTTAGTATATAACAATTGAGTCAATTACAATTATTATTAAATAGCTAAAAAAGGAAAGGAAAAAAACAAATAAAGCTCTCTAGACAAAATATATTAAACTACTATATCTACTTATAGTTCTAACAGATGAGCGAAAGGGTTATATCCTATGATGATTTGATGAAGATAAAAAAAGGTTAAATTAATTTTTTTAAGCCGAGCCCAAGGTATTTAATTAGTTTTTACATCTAAATTTTTTTTCCTAAATTTTTTGAAATTAGATATAAGGTATCCAATTAAAAATGCTAGTCCAAAAATATGATTTAGTAAAGGATTTTTATCAACAAAATATTTAATTTGCCTTTGTCAGGTTGAATAGAGCGTGGCCCTCTAAGTTTTGCTCACAAGAAAAAAAGCATTAACATCATTAAAAATAATCTTATAGGATATAATTATTGTTCTTGAGCCTTGATAGAAGGAAACTAAAATAAAACAAAAGGTCATTTGCACTTTAGTATCACAAAGTTTAACCCAATTGAACTTCAATACCCCAAACTTACTACATATGTGAGCTCAATTTCTTTGACATCTGCCAACTACTATTGGCCTACTGTTATGTGGGTCTAAAATACCTTTTTAAAAGGAACGTTATTAGAAAATAGGAAGTTGAACTAAACAAGTCGGATCCATATCTATATGGGTCAGATGCAAATTCTACTGTGTAGTTTATGGTGGCTTTAGATCGAAAAAGTCAGGAAGCCGGAATGATTAGTCAAAGTCCTAAACGATCATAAAATTGATATCAAGAGGAGTGACATTGGTAGTAAAGCCTAAGGAGAGATAGTAAAGCCGAACACTTGAGTGAGGCGACATGTAAGAGACCAACACTTGAGGTTGTAGAGTGTGATTGTAAGAGTGTGAGTTGTGGAAGTCTTTTCATGTGTAGCAGAAGTACTTTCTATGTGCATCAGTGTTCAACTGGAGATCTTTCTACATAAAATGATCCGAACTATACACCGTACTGTTATATGAACAATACAAAATGTAGGGAATACACCTGGCATTCAAGTTGTGTTCTCTGGGATAAAGTAAACAAACTTAAACTTGAGGAACTCCTGCATTCTAATTTTCCTAAGCACTCGCTTTTCCTTTCTGTTCAATTTTCCTCTCTTTGGTTCCTCTATTATATATTAAATAGGTCTAATTACCAAAAGAATGCTAGTAATGGGGAATCAAGTAAGAAAAAAAATTTGAAAATGGAAGAGGTAGATCTAAGTCCAAGTTTAAAGCTAAAAAATGCTATAATTGTCATGAAACTGGTCACTTTAGTAAAGATTGTCCTAAGTCTAAGAAAAATCAGCAAAATGAACATGCTAATATGGCTGTCTGTGAGGGCAAAATGGGTGAGATTTTCAGGGATAAAGTAAACAAACTTAAACTTGAGGAACTCCTGCATTCTAATTTTCCTAAGCACTCGCTTTTCCTTTCTGTTCAATTTTCCTCTCTTTGGTTCCTCTATTATATATTACAGTGTACAATATAGTAATATCATATCCTATTATTAGAAAATGCTTCTGGTGAAAGCACCCCCAAAATGTGTTTGCACTTCAAAGTAGGACTCATGCTTGTGAAAGTGGAATTTATACAACACAAAGGGCATCAAGTACTATGGATTAGACATGTACAGATTAAAGAAGGCCTGTAGCTTGAGTTTGTGTTGTTTCAGTTGGAACACCTAAAACTATTGTCTAAGGATTCAAAATACTTAGAATAGATTTGTGTAGTGATATGGCCAAATATATAGCCAAAGATGTAAAACGCATGTGCCTTTGTTCCTACATAAAAATGACAATGAAGGCAGTAATAAATTTCTTACCAAAACTTTAGCCCTTGTTATGGATTTAGATTTCGAGTCAATAACATAGATTTCTTCAAAATCAAGCACAAACTCTGAATCATTTGCGCGTCTATTTCTATAATGCTTTGTTAAGAAAACCTGTAATAAATGGCAAACAATATGAGATAGGTATGGCATTAAGTACATACATATAGGAAAGCATAAAGTGCCATAATTTACCTTCATTATCTCCCTCTCAGTTTTATACAATGGATCTCTAGGCGCATCTATAGGCGGCTCCGTTACATTATAGCATCCAAAATTAGTTTTTGAACACCTAATATACTGTATAAGAGAAAGAAATAACACCTTTTATATTATGAAAAATCATTGCATACAAAATGGTAAATAACAAAATATCCTCTTTTTACAAGAAACTACTCATCTAAAAAGATTAAAAAAAGACCCTCATACACAATCATTAATGCAACCGTTATTTCTTAACGTTGATTAACTCTACTTGATTGGACAGTCATGCATCTCTACCATTTGAAAGCATTTTCTCTACACCTCTATCGCCACAACCATTATAATAATCTAGATCTTGATTTTGTTACCTATCTCAAATACTTCCTGCGATTCATTTTGGATTCAATTGCACTCTTCTGACTTCTTCAATTCCACATGAAACTTTATCAGATGATGAAGTATGTATGGAAAAAAACAAATAATAAGCAAAAGGCTTTAATGTATGATGTTTTTTTCTTTTTATTTTTTAACTTGGAGCTTCCTCCTCATAAAACAAGACTTTTCCCTTTTCCCTTTTTTTTCTTTTTGAGTCTATACATGTGAGAGAAGAAACCAGTAACATAATCGCTGCAATAAGGACATATAAAATCCCATGCAGCAATCTTAACTGAAAAATGTTTGATAAAATCAGAAAACACATCAAATTGGACAATGCAAGTAATTTCCTTTCTAAGAATAACATTAATCATTTTATCTCTACAAAAAATAACATTAATCACTCAATTGGTGGTGCGGATATAAGCTTACCGAATAAAATTCATGGTGAGGACAAGAAAACAAAGGCTTTTCGTTGTACTTATGCATCAGTGTTTTCTCTGCTGCACTCAAGGGAAGATCTTCCAAATGAGCTACACGCCCAAGTATTTTCAACCTTTCTCGGAAAGGAACAATTGTATCCACAGGAAAGCTTTTAACCTTTTCCACATTATCGTTAATTAACCTCTATATGCAAAAAAAGATCAACCGAATTATTAAACCACACAACATTGAAAAAAATATCGTTAATTAACCTCTATATGCAAAAAAAGATCAACCGAATTATTAAACCACACAACATTGAAAAAAAATGCCACACATAAATGTGATTCTCAAAAAAAGATCAACCGAATTATTAAACCACACAACATTGAAAAAAAATGCCACACATAAATGTGATTCTTGCCACACAACATTGAAAATCCTCTCAAATATGAAACACCATGCTATCTAATTATCCATAATTTATTAATTCTTCAGAATTTATAATGGTGGACCCACTAATAACTCTCGGCAGTGACTGCGTATGGCAGAAAAGGGAAAGAACACAAAGGAAGAACAAACGAAAATCGCCTGGAAACATCCATTTATTTCATGAATACAAGAATACAAGAATACAATATATAAAAGTAAAAAAGACTGGAAAAATATTCAAAAATAGGAAATCCCAAGATTCAGGTTCGGTACCTCATTCAAATTTTAATAAATTAAATGATGACTGTCTATTAAAAAACTATGGCACCAACCTACCATTCACCTCCCCCTACCCCCCCGGCACCCCTTTCAAACAAAGTCAAAAAAGAAAGGGGAAAAACTTACTTGCTGATTCTAGATATCATACAAGCAACCAACCAGCAAAAATGGAAAATAAATAAATAAAAAACAAATTCAAACTACAATTATATTTGTGTGGGTGTGCGCGTGCATATTGTGGTCATGCATGGTGTGTGGTCAAAGATTTTAAAACTTTTATGGATTAACCTCCAACTAACGCATCAAATCTTTAATTCCAGTAAGACAACCAAATTCAATAAATCAACAACTTTAATTGCCAACAATCAACTAATGAAATAAAGACCCTAATCAACTATTTGTCCTAAACAAGCCTCGTTTTCTATGCCTAAACATCTCATCTCCAAGAAATAATTCAAATTAATATAAAAAGACCAGAAAATATATGGAGTGCTTAGAGGAAATTACGTGGATCTTGGGTTTGGAATACCTTGTTAGATATCAATGATAGATTTCATGAAGGATTTGTGGTGGAGGATGGGTTGGTTAAGTGGAAGTACTTGTTCTAGATACTTTTCAATTCAAAGTGCTTATAAATTTATATCTGAACAAAATGATGAAGTGGAATGGTTTCGTTTAACCTGTGGAAGGGATGGTAGTTCGAAGTATTCCTTCATTGCCTGGCTTGTTGCTGTTGTTAAAATTAGAACAAAGGAGTGGATGATGAGAGTAGGGATCCTTGAAGAGATGAGATGAGCACTCTGTGCTGATGGAAGTGAAAACAAAGATCATCTCTTCTTTCTCCTACCTCTCAAGAACTGATTTGTGCTCTGTTGCAGAAGATGAAACTAAGAACTCCAATCAGAGATTGGTCTCAGTTTATAATTTGCTTCCAGAAGCTGGTTAAGGGGAAAAGTACTGGAAGTTGTGTCAAGAGATGCTTGTTTTTAGCTGCCATCTATAGACTTTGGCAAGAAAGAAATTCAAAACGTTATAAGAAACAGGCTCATATTCCTCATTATATCACTCAACAATGTATATCAGATGCTAAATGCAAGTATAGATCTGTTCAAAAGTGAAGAATTATAGGATTTGATAGAATTCTGGATTTGTTTGCTTGGTACTCTCTTGTGTGGTTAAGAGGGGAATTTCTAGTTCTTAAGTTGGTTTTGATGTAAATCTGGTTCATGGTTCAAGGAGTAGCCTATGTATGTTGAAGTGTTTGAAGCCATGGACAAGCTATGCATAACTGGAAGTTGTGAAGTAATATGGTGCTATGCTTTTTTGTAAATAGAGTACCAGATAGTAAAGGTGAGAATTTCGGGGTTAGTTTGCTTTTTTTTTTTTGGTTTTGAGGATTTGAGTTTATATTAGTTAATGTATAGGAACTACTTGCACATTTTTTATCAGGTTGTGAGTGGTTCTTGTAAACCTGGGTTAGCCTGGGTCCATTTGTAAAGGTTTGTTTGAGGAATACGAAAATTACTTACCATAAAAAAAACCAGAAAATACAAATCCTATGAAAATCCTCAAAGGAAATTCATCTTTAGTTCGACCAGTGCATCCAAATTTAACAACATTAGCTCCACAATCAATTCAAATAAATACAACTCTAATCCTTCAACTCTAAATTACAAAAATGAAACTGACATAGGAGCAAGATGGAGACTTGAAGCAAGCCCTAATTCGGACAACCCTTGACCTATTGTTGAATTAGAACAAAATGAGATGATGGCTAATTAGAACAAAATTAAATGAAATTTTTCTTTAAAATTAAAGCAAAATGAAAGGAATGAAGAACAAAAAGGTGAGATGGTGAATTGAGCAAATAAAATTTAGAAATACCTTCTTCAATGACATTCCTTCCTAATTCTAACCGATGCCAAAATTTTGACAACTGAGGAGATGATGGCAGAGGCGTAGCATTGATGATTAGGGCAATAACACTCATCTGTGGAAATTGATGGCTTAAGATCGTGGAACGGCTTAACGGAAGAACTGAGGAGATGGGCTGAGAAGAAGGGTAACAGATCTTTGGTGGGCGGAGAGAAAGGCGTAACCTACGGAAATCTTTAGCTAATTTGGGGAGGCAACGGAAGATCGGAGGGGAAGCTTTGATGATGACTGAGAAGAACTGAGAAATCATCTTAGTGGAGGTAACAGAAGATTGGAGGAGACGACGTAACCGATGAAGGATTAGGGCGTAACCGAACCGATGAAAGGTGAAGTGGTTTATGAAATCAGGATATGTTTGGTAATTAAATTTGGTGGAAGGCTATTTTGGGGAGGGGAAAGTTTTTTTGGAACTCCCTCTTTTAAAGGGTAGATGATATATATACATACATACATACATACGGCGATTAGGGCGATTTGGCGATCAGCGATTTTGAATTCTCTGTTGAGGCTTCGGCCATGACGGATCGGGAGAAGGTTCTTATTGGCGCAGATCAAGAGGATGTGAGAGCCCCCTTCAATCCTAATGGAGTAGGTACAGTAGCAGCTAATGAAGGAGTCGACAAAGATTGGATCAATGTGATTTCCCGTAAAAGGTATAAATTTTTTTTATCAAAATCTAATGATTCTCAAGCTAAAGCCGATACTCGGAAGTTTCATCAACATGCATTGAATAAAGATGGTGGAGGATTTCATTCTTCAGAATCTAGGGTCAAAACAAATCACTCTTTGCACCAGAAGCAGAGAATTGCTGAATCATGGAAATTTAAATCTGTTGGATCTACGTCATGGAAGGATGTTTGTACTATGGGCAGAGTAATAAACCAAAATTGCTCTTTAGAATATTTTCCCCCTTCTATTGATAGCAAAGGTATGCAATATGCTTCTATTCCTCGATCGGAAATTCTTCTTAATGTTGAGAAATGGAATAACACTTTAATTGGATATGTTCTTGGTGATAAACCTTTCTATTCTCATCTAAAAGGATGTGTTAGACGCCTTTGGAAATTATCCTGTTCCCTTGAAATTTTTTCTAGAGAGAATGGTTTCTTCTTTTTCAAATTTGGTTCTAATGAAGAGATGAACAGAGTTTTAAATGGTGGCCCTTGGTTGTTCGATGGAAGGCTTATTATTCTTAAACAATGGTTTGAAAATATCGGTTTAGAACGAGAACTCCTTACAATTGTTCCAGTTTGGATTAGATTCCCTTCTCTGCATCTCAAATTATGGTCTACTAATATCATTGGTCGGATTGCTAGTATTGTGGGTATTCCTCTATATATTGATCAAGCTATTACATCTGGTGAGAGACTAGCATATGCCAGATGCTTTGTGGAAATTTCGTCTAAAGCTAAGCTCCTCAATTCTGTTAGAATGGATTTAGGCAATGGAGAATGGTTAGAAACTAATGTGGAGTATGAATGGGTCCCTCCTAAATGTAGCAAATGTTTAGTTTTTGGGCATGTTGAGTATCAGTGTCCAGTAGTTCTAGTTGAGAAATGGGTTCCTAAAGCTACAGCTGATGAAACAGTTAAGGCCAAAGAAGTTGAGTTACCTGTTACAGATTCTACCATTTCAAATATTGATTCTCATCAACATAGTGTATCAGACATTGGTGCAAGCTCCGATCACCCAAAAGTTGTTTCAGATTATGATTCCCCTAAAGAGGATGCTACCAACTCATATGGTTCTGATAAAGAAAAAACAGTTCTATCTGCTTCAATTATTTCTGAAGGAAATGATAATTTGTTATTGTAGGGTGAAAATTTGATTCTTCCGAAGAAAGGAGTTTCGTTTGTATTTATAAGAAAGCTTACTTTGTGCTTCAGGGATTTATGCGAAGCCCGCGAAGTCCTCTCTCTCTTCCTCTTCTTCTCGCTCAGGAGATGCTCTAACATCTCCTTTAGGAAGTCGATGGTTGCTTGTTGCTCGTCGAGTCTCCTGGATATCTCGTCAGGGACATCGGTCATGTGCACATTTGCGTGCTCGCCCTGAACTGAGCTTGAAGTCTGCGACATTGCCACTGCTGAGCAATCGTCGTCGTACAACGCCCTTCCGGCCTCTAATGAGTCCGGATCTGCAGATCGTCACCCCTCCTCAATCAAGGAGTTGAGTACAGAAGGCGCGCCTATTTTATCGAAGAGAACTCGTCAAAGGCAGCTGTAGGGTGAAAATTTGATTCTTCCGAAGAAAGGAGTTTCGTTTGTATTTATAAGAAAGCTTATTACAAACTAACAAATCAAATGTTTACAACAGAAGCAGAGGGAAGGCCCTCTTTGTTTTGTGTGGGGACTTTAGGTGGCTATAGGACGCTTCGCTCGATGCTTGGGTCGAGTCTGCTTCCCTTGGACCGTTTGAATGAGGTTGCTGGAGAGCTTCAGTTCGCAGTAGAAGCTCGGGGCAATGGAGTTCGGGTCTGCTTAGTTCGTCGGCGATCGGAGCTCGGAACTAGGCGGCAGTGCTGTAATGCAAGGATTTGCTAACAGCTTGGTCTCAACTCTTTTTTCTCCAAGTTTTGCGACCTCTCTTGGACGATCCGATCGAAGTTGT